CAAAAATTGGGAACCATCTTCCAACACTGTCGAGGCGAATGCAGTCAGCCATTTAACACAAGGAGCCAATTGTTCCCAGGAAAGACGCGATGCCCTTAAAGCACGTTCTCTTCCTTGTGTATGATAAATAGCTCCTGCAGCTATATGGCTATAAGGAAATTTTAAACTTCCTTCATCCAAGGTTGCTAAATCCAAAAGCTGAGCAGCTTGCGAATACTGCAATCCACTATACTGTGGATATATAAATACATTGGGTTTAGACCAATCACCGGATTCTATTTGCATGTAGATATTAAGCCATCCTGGAGCAGTCATCGGCGAGAGATTCCACCCTAATCCTTTCAAAATGATTAATTCTTTTCCTAAAATCTCTTCCTCTGTGCAGGCCCCATCAGTAACATATGCAAACTCAGCTATTTTAGGTGGATAGATTTCTTCAACCTGAAAATAAATTAGAAGTATCATTAAATTGTTATATTCATAAAAATAGTATTCCAAAAAAGAAAAGGAAAAAGAAAAAAATAGAACAAACCTTGGCTGCAATAAACAGGCATGTAATACCTATAAGTTGTAATTGACTTTTTGGTACGTTTTGATGAGTGGACAGATATCTGTCTATATAGTCCATGGCAAGATAATAAGTTTCTCTGTGTAGTTTGTACACTTCACAAACTTCGATTAACCAATCCAACAAAATAGCACGCATTCGTGGTTGTAATGTTGGATGCCTTTGAAACATTTGCGGATCTCTTTGACTAAGAGTCTTTTGATCTCCCAGACACATAAGGGCCCATACTTGTGAACCATCTGCCCAAGGAAACGATGGGAGAGGACTTTGCCTATTTGATGCGTTATTAGAACCTGAAGGTGTCAAGAAACAAGTTGCATTTCTTAATTCCGACCAAGTTGCTGGTTCCTGTTGTTCTTTTAAAGGAGATGTTTGATGTTGAGGTGTACATGGATTTTCTATAGAATGTGTACCATTACAAGATTCTGTATATGACACATGAGATAATGCTGGTACTTTGCTAGGAGGATAAATATTTTCTGAATCTTCAGAAAGTTCAGCTGTACGTCTTTTACGCTTTAACAATTGCCTCTCTTTACCACTTTGCAAATAAGTTTGGGAAGACTTTTTCTCTTGTAAACTGTCGATAGAAAAGAAAGAAAAAAATTATAATCCTCCCTAAAGCTACTATTGAATTATCATGAAGATATAAACAAAGAAACTTATAAAAAATGAATGACTTAAGCACGACGATTAAAAACCTAATACAGGGCGTAATATGCAATAGTTATACTACAACTTGTTATGTATTAGATCTTTAATAACGCTATAATTTTGTTGCTAATGCATTTCTTCTTGTAGTAGTCTCAATATGTGAATTGTAATAAGAGAAGGTTATATAAATAAAATTTAAACTATAACTAAAGGAAAAAAATGATTTATTGTTTTCTAAGACTGTTCCAAGGTTGCTATAATATATATCAATTTCTTACACGTGAAAACTAATGAAATAATGGAAAAATCCTACGTTCGAATAGAAGGTCGAGCACTCACCTGGTCTGTGGCATCTTGCTGAGAAATACTCGCAGAGTTCGAAATATTCTTAAGAGTTAAGATTTTTTTTTATTAATCCTCGGTATCGGGTGATATCAGACTAAGTTTTGACGAAAAGCAAGTAAGATTTCGTACTACAATATTGTCGAGAAAATACTAAAAAGTATGAGAGCGCGCGAAGCTCAGACACACTCGATCGCCATAATGCACGTCTCCTTCCCCGATACCAATCCAATATTTAACGATGAAACGTAAACACACTTATTCGATTTAATCAAAAGAAAATCTCCGATAGTCTTTAGCGATGTACCATCATAATGTAAATAACTTTGGAATAAAATTTTCATGGAAAAATCCGAGGACGTGGATCTCGAAGCGCGGGAGACCAGCGCGCGAAACGATGACCAACCCCTGCTTGCAATCTGGCGCTGTGACGCCCTCTATATGAATACCATAACCTCAAAAGGGGAAAATTTTTCAATTTTTACAAATACTTTCCGGAGAACTTCCCTTGACCTTTCTCAATGGACAAACACCGATGTCATCCTCAGGAAACAAGGATTTTGTTGGTCAAAGAAAGGTCTTCCAAGCTGTTGATTCACTCGACGACGTTTCACAGTTAGTGTGATTTTTCCAATAAATATGCACTTTAATGACATTCAACAAGCGAATTCTTGAATAAAACGAGTACATTCGTCTTTATATCGGTCTTTTTTTTCACATATATACGAAATTACAGCATCGTGGCGTTTTCGAAATCAGACAAACCGAGGTGCATCCATGCTCTCCCGCGTCCATTGGAGAATGCTTCCCGCCTTGATCTAATCACACTATATTTTCTAAGAAACAATGGAATATCTTTTTAGTCACTCACGTTAAATACGTAACAATGAAGAATGTTAGATGGTCATATTTAAACGATAAATACAAAGATAATAGCTATTTAAAATTCATTAAAGAAACTGCTTGGCAGCGCGAAGTTTTGCAGGAACGCCAAAGAAGTGATGGGCGCCGGGCAGGCGTGCTTATAGGTGGCGCTAGTAACCTTTCGGGCATACGTTTATCCGATTGGTCGAGTCGTATGACACAGCTGGCGCTCAGCTGATTCATTTGTAGCACACACTTGCATTTACATTCACTGATAAGGGACGCGCGCGCGAAACGATGCAATACCATGCAACTCGCGCCCCTGACCCACGCGGGAAAATACGCGCGCCCGCCTAAATCCTTTTCCCTCTCTCTTCCTATTCCGCAACCCCCACCCACTCATTCTCTCTTTTTCTTAACAAGACGCGTCATCCAATCGACATAACAGAAGACGTTCGACAACGACTCACGACCGTCGTCTTTCGTAAAGATACACTCTTTGCCACGTGTCGAGCACGGTGACCCTTTTCGAATTACGCGCGAAGGCCAATTTTATATTTCTTTTAGATTTAGAAATTTTTTGGGTATTTAATGTAATAACCGATGGATGTAGATCTTAGTATGCGTCTTATAAGATTTATACATTACTTACGTTTTTGGTTTCATCCAATTATTTTTTAAGAATTCGTTTTTGTTTCCATATTTTACGTGAATTATATTATTAACTATCAAAATTTTGCTAACTCTTAAAATTTGTGAACATTCTTAAGTTTTGAAAACAATCGAAAGAGTACTTACGGTTGACATTCATTTATAATAAAAATAAGAATTCTTGTGACAATATTAATATATTCAATAAATTTTAGAGTGTCTTATATGAATGAAATACGTTGAAAAAAATCAAATTCTTCATATATTCCACAAAACCTTTAGAATATATTCGTAAAATAGTATTCTCTGACGAATGTAATTAAAAGTATAGCATTTTTTTTGTATAATTATATATAATTTTCTGTAATATAACTTTTCAGTACGATTGTTAATAAAGTAAAATAATTTTTAAATTAGTTTAATAAATTAAAAAATTATTTATAAATTATAAAATAGAAGTATTTCTTTTTTCTATTAATTCATACTAAGCTAATTATGAAAGATCGAAAAGTATTGATGATAAAATCGAAAATTATCATATCGATAATCCAAACATTTTTATCGATCGATAATGTAAACGTGAACATTTAGGAAATCATCTACTACGTGGCGCTTTGATCAATATTAAAGCTATACTGATTTTATCATCTATCTGTATACTATAGGTGAACGTCATTTTACAACTCAACACACACACATGCAAATATGTATGCTTGACGATTTCGTACATGTATGCCAAGTTCGATGCAAGTATGTACGGAAATTTGGTGTGATGGGGATGATGGTGAGGGGTAAAAGATTCTAGGGGGAAAGACGAAATGCAAGAATGCGATGTGCAATGTCGAACGGCAAACCGAGGAAGACACTATCGTGCCACTGACTATGACAGTTAGGTGCGCTCGTTCATTTATTGTAATTTCGATAAGATAATCTATAATTATCTACAGATAATTATACTTTACATTCTACTACTATTTTACACATGATCACGTGTTAAATACAAATACATAAATATCTTTGCTAAGATTGAATAATTTTTTTTTAAATATAGGATAAATATAGGATGTCTGTCTTAAATAAATCATTTCAAAATGATATATATATATATATATATATATATATAAATATATTGATTAATCATAATTATTATAAGGATTATAGGTAGTTCAGTTTTGATATATGTTATTGTTAATAAATTGAAATGTGTCAGATAATAAATTGAAGGAATGACATTCTTTCTTTACAATATCTATTTTTTATGAAGCATTTTTTATATAGTAACAAAGAAACTATAGGATAGATAAATAACATTATAAAATATTTTGTTAAATTAAGAAATGAAAAAGAAAACCGATTTAAATAGAACGATCGATACTAATGATATTTGAAGGGTACACGATTGATACATACGGTCCTGGTTTTCTGGAAATCGTCAGCGGTCCGGGGCCATTAAACGCGTTATATGTGTCTTGCAATTTGATCCCACGGCGCAAAGAGTACACTCGATCGGAGAAGTAATTTACGCAAATTCCTGGACATCTCTGGGATCTCTGCAGGTGGGCCTCCTGAATTTCTTCTCGATCTTCGATGGTTTGATATCACACACAGTGATAGTTATTTTATCGTATTGTCTACATCTAGAAGACTAGAAATTGATCAAATAAAAGAGGAAGAATCCAGAACGGCAAGATTTCGCATAATCCAGGAGCTAATTTTGCTTCCGCTAATTCGCCTGTGACGAAAATTTATCGGTAATGAATTTTTGTTGCTGTTGTTAAAATATGTCGAATTTCTTACTAATATCAAAATATTTTGATAATTTAATGCGATTGAATGACATTTGATTTTCAATTCAATTTTGGATTTTGTAAAAGTGTTCTAAAAAATTGTGTTTGGTTTATCTTTTCTTTTTTTTTTTTTTTACATAAAGATTTTACACATTCAGATATATATTATGTAGTTATGTTATATAATAGGTATAATCATATTTACAGTGTAAATGAACGTGTAATTTTGAGAAGTAATGCAAGGCATGATGCCAGTTAAGACAAAATCTCGTATTCCTGAGACAATGGGAGTAACGAATGGATTAGTGGATGCTAGAGCAAAGCAGGTTTTGAGAGAGGCAGTAGACGCAGTTGTTAATAGTTTTGCTAAACATACTCAGGGTTATGGAAGAGGTGTGTTATTTTGTTATTAATTTTTTCATTCTATATAGAAGAAATATAATTTAAATTGTATAAAATAATTATTCATGTTATAAAATTTGTATGATACACTTATAACATTATAATATATTTAGTGAATGTGGTAGAGGCGCTGCAAGAATTCTGGCAAATGAAGCAAAGCAGAGGCACAGAATTAAGAAATGGAGCATTAGTAATTTACGAATCCGTCCCAGGTGCTAGTCCACCATATGTTTGCTATGTGACCCTTCCTGGAGGATCTTGTTTTGGAAGTTTTCAAAATTGTCCCACAAAAGCTGAAGCACGTAGATCAGCGGCAAAAATAGCATTGATGAATTCAGTGTTCAATGAACATCCATCACGAAAAATTACAGATGATTTCATAGAGAAAGCTGTAGCTGAAGCAAGAGCAAGTTTCGCAAAACCTTCCACTACGCCTAATGGTGTTAGCAATCAAACTCAAGTAATTTCTTATGTGTGAAATATTAACACTTTGTGGTCGAATGTTCCCGCAAAGACGACAAAAAATAATTTCGTTATCTATATCATCATTAGGTTTTTTTTTCAATTTGACAATTTTATTTTGATTTAATTGAAATTATTTTTACCACTTTTACGACGACATTCGACCTAGTGAATAGAAATGTGAGGCATTCGAATGCAAAGAGTATACATATATATGTAATAATAATAATATAGATAAAAATATATCTAAGATTGAATGTATTTTTAGGGAAATGGTGATGATAAAGAAGATCCAAATACTGGAATTGGTGCATTCCGTTTTATGTTAGAATGTAATCGTGGGAGAACAATGTTAGAATTTCAAGAACTTATGACAGTTTTCCAGTTACTTCATTGGAATGGTTCATTGAAAGCTATGCGAGAAAGACAGTGTAGTAGACAAGAAGTAGTAGCGCATTATAGTCACCGTGCATTAGATGATGACATGCGTAGTCAAATGGCACTTGATTGGGTTGCCAGAGAACACGAAAGTGGTGGTGGGGTTGTTGCAATGGAATTAGCTTTAGCGGAAAGAGAACTCGAAACGGCGCGTTTAGCAGGACGCGAACTTAGATTTCCAAAGGAAAAAAAAGATATACTAATGTTGGCTCATGCTCAAGTTTGTCCTCAATGAATTATTTGAGGTAACATACTTTTTGAGACTTTATGAGACTGGTTTTTTGAAAATTGGATCATTTAAAAAGATAAGCAATTCCTGTACCTTGTAAAGATCGAATTTTCAAAAATAGTGATTCACTTTTCATTTGTTATTCACTTTTCATCATTAGACAATTTTGTTTTATCAATATATTTTTTTTATAAGAAATATGATACACAGAATTTTGTGATAATACACTTCCAAAGGAATTTAAAAATTCAGTGAAATGTGTGCCCATGGTATTCTAAGTACTTAATCTATATAGAAATCAATTGAAGCAGAAATACTGTAGATGTTTAACGCACTACATACGTAAACGTTTTAAATACATAAATTTGTCTTCCATTTTTTGTATTATTTTTTTTTTATAAATAATTTGATGCATATATATATATACACATTTCAGTTATATATGCTTGAATACATATTGCGCTTATCTTGCATGCCGTGTGTGATAATGTAAAAAAACATACACGTATAAGGGATATATGTATACATTAAAGTTCAAAGAGATAGAAGTATCTTTTTAAATATTTTTATATAACATAGCTAGTATGCGAGATCTAATATGTCCATAAATATATGAAACTCATATAAAATGAAGACATTTTCTTTGTGCCTGAAAATAAGTGATTACGACATAGTAAATTTATAATTATTTCAATGATATTTTATTATTATTAATATTATTATTATTATTATTATTATTATTATTATTAATATTATTATTATTATTATTATTATTATTATTATTATTATTATTATTATTATTATTATTATTATTAAATATTGATAAATTCATTTTTTTAAATATAAAGTTACAGTGTTCACATACGTCTCCAATTTAATTAAAATAATATTAAGTTTATATAGTAGCATTTACAGTTTCCTCTGACAATGTTGTCAAAGATGGATTTTCTTCTTCCTCTTGTAAAGGATGTGCAAGTACCTTATCTATTATTCCAAATTCCTTAGCTTGAGAAGGACTCATGAAATTATCTCTTTCCATACTGCGTTCTAATATAAATAATGACATTAATCACAAAAACCAAAACTATAAATGAAATTATTATATTTGAGCTACCTATTTTTTCTAAATCCAATCCAGTATGTTTGACATATAATTTATTAATTTGTTTTTTCAGTTTTAATATTTCTTGGGCTTGAATTTGAATATCTGTAGCTTGACCAGATACTCCACCAGATGGTTGATGAGTCATAATTCTAGCATTAGGTAACGAATGTCTCATGCCCTTTGCTCCAGCAGCTAAAAGTAAGCTCGCCATTGAACATGCTTGTCCTACGCACCAAGTTGCAACAGGTGGTAGGACATATTGCATAGTATCATAAATACCCAGTCCTGCTGTTACACTTCCGCCAGGTGAATTAATGTACATATGAATAGGGTTTTTACTACTTTCCGATTGAAGAAAAAGTAATTGAGCTATAACCACTGAGGAAACATTATCTGTAATCTATTAAAAAAGAGATAGATCAGTTTTTATTAAACTACAAATAGGAATTATAATAATCGTATGTTTGCATATATGTTCTATAATCAGAAATAAACATTACCGGACCCATAAGACATATTATTCGCTCTTTTAAAAGACGAGAATAAATATCATATGCACGTTCTCCTCTTCCACTTTGTTCAACCACGACAGGTACAAAATTTAAATAACGTGTGCTTAGTTTTTGACCATAACCCTATTTTAAAAATACACCAGTTAAATTTATTCTACTTTTTCTTACTATTTTAAAGACTTTTATAGTAAATACGTACAGTAATCCGTAATAAGCTATTTATTTTTTGCAACATTTCCACAAGTTTATTTATTAATAATTTTTTTTATTTATAATCGTCGATTAATTTCACTAGTTATATTATATTAATATTGAATACACTAATACCTAAAAAATAAATTTTAAATACCTACATTTTACTCATAACAAATTTATTACAGAAAATATTACCTTTAGTAACGAAACGTATTTAACACAACGTTAAATTGAAATTATTTGATAAACAATAATAGAATAAACAATATAGAAAAATGGCATAGAAGTGAATGATCTGATTTTTTCAGGTTATGTTTTGAATAGTTCGTATTGTTATAAAAATATTATTAAAAGAGTGTGGTCGGTAAGACAGAGATGTATTACCAATCGTAGGTCATAAATAAGTTATATGTTGTATTATTATAACTGACAAAACTGAATTATGTGTATTTTATTAAGCACTTTTTCCAAAAATATTTTACATTCTTGTTATAAATTATAATTTAATAATATTTAAATATTTTATTCTTAAAAGAGATAAAATAGTTTTACTATATAAGTAATGTAGACTATAAAATTTAGTAGATGGCAATATTATTAAATGTTATACAATTTATAAATTAAAATAGATGCTGGGATTGAAAAGATTTTTATATCAAATTAATATAAATTTGATACTACAATAAAACTGAAATGAAATAATATTTAGTTGTGCTTTTTAATTACTTTACTTACACATTGTGTGTGTGTTGTGTATGTATGATATATATATATGAGAATTATACATATATATATATGGGATTGTGCACCGATACATGTTATACTACGTAGAACAATGTTATTATTTACCAAAAGTAATTCAATTACTAAATTATTGATAAATTCATTAAAATCATCTCATATACTTTCACAAAAACGCATGGTGTATAAATCTAGTTTATTATTACGTAAAATATTTGAGAAATCAAGGTATTTTAAAGTTTGTTATTTAGGTTAATTATTATTGACTTATAACTTATTACATTATTGAAATTATATTTACCTATAGGATAAATAATGTAAAAGGACAATTATGGACATCAAATTTAATAATACGACATAACCAAACACAATCATGGGATATAAAGACTAATCTAGCAAATAATGTTATTTTGTATAAGAATGAAAGAGGCAAATATATGTTCGTTCACATATTTGGTCTATGTAACATATTTGCTTGGTTATATTTATTTTATTATTGGTATGGAGATTTATATCGTAATTTAAAGACCATATCGTTTAAACAATTTTTAGGGGATAATTATCCTATTCTTTCAATTTTCTTTTTAACAACATTCTCAGGTATATATGACAATTATTAAATCCAAAAGATGCAATAAATTTATACATATATGATCTATTATTGAAAATGGTAAATAATATTTATTTATTTTAGGACCACTTTTCTATGGATTAGCATGGTTTTTTAGTTCACGTATGGTCAAGTATATAATCTTACATAAAGGAGGCAAACATATTAGCTTTATTACTAATCATCTACTAAAAAGCAAAAATACTATAACTGTTCCTATAGAAAAGGTAGGAATAAATCCTATAAAAAATAATTAATAATTGTCTATATTTGATGCATATATTTATATATAAAAAAGTATCAATAACATTCGATATTTTTAAGGTATATAGCACACAATCTAGAACTGATAAAAGAGGAGTATATACATCTATTAAAATAGAACCTTATAAGATGTATTTTTTAATTGATAAACGTGGTACCTATATAAATGGGGATCTGTTTGATCGTGTGGTTGTATATCAAAAATAGTATACTAGATAATGACAATAAAATTTTTATGAAAATTATAATGGATTGGGGAAAAGTCTCTTCGTATTTTAATGCAAAAGTAAAACAAGTTCTTTTTATATATCAAATAAAGTTTATTACACTAAATATGTGCCGTTTTAATCGATTATTTTTTGCCATTTTTGGTAAAATCATAATCCCATGGTTTTAGAATTTATGTGCTTAATTGACAAAAAACTCCGATAATAGATTTTCACAGGCACCTTTTAAAGCTAGCTTTACACCACTAAGGGAATTTTCCAAAGACCAAAACAAATAATACTCTGACAGTGCAAGATCAGGATGCAAATACAATGAATTCATTGAAATTCTCCAGCCAAATTCTCTCAATTTTTTATGGATCACCATGTGTGTGATCTATCATTGTCGTGATGGAAGATGATACCTTTTCTATTGATCAATTTTAATCGTTTTATCTCGATTGCTTGGCATAATCTGTTATTAACAATAGAGATTAGAATCAATAGTTTAGCCAGGTAACAGTAGTTTGTAGTGAACAATTTCTTTGTAATTCCACCATACACACAATCCTGGCTGTGCCACCATCTGCGGAGCTTCACTTTCCTTCAACGATGATTTTTTTCGTACATTGTTATCGTACGTGATCCATTTTTCCTCGCCCATAATAAGCTGATTCAAAAATGGTCCGGTTTTAACAACGATTCTCAGATGTTAATTTGATCCATTAAATTTTTCATTGTTAAGTCATATGGCCGCCTTCTTCGAATGGTTTAAAACTGTTTTTTGGTCAATGTTTAATTGTTTAGCGACATCAGAACTGCTAATGTGCCGGTCTTACTCAATTTTTTTCATGATTTCATAGACTTTTTCAATCATTGGCCGACCAGAGCGAGGTACATCACTTATATCAAAATTTCTAGATTGAAAACTCTTGAACCAGCTTTGTACCAGTCATACTGATACTGCATCAAGTCCATAAACATCAAAAATTTTTTTAGCACCCTAAATTGTATTCTTTCCTTTTTTGTAATAAAATTTCAAAATTTATTGAATTTCTACTTTACTTCCATTTATTTTCAAAACGTAATAAATATAAAATAAATAAATGAATATATCATAATCTTTCTAAAAATACTTAATGATGTCACCTTGCAACACATATATTGATAATTGCAAACACATACAATTACCAAATTTGATTAATATTATCATATACTAACTATTATCATATAATAATATCATATACCGGGAGAATACGAAGAAACTTATTTCCCTAATAACAATACATTAAGGCTATTTATTACACTTGTTTTTTTTAATGGTTTACGTCATCAATGAGAACAGGCGTAATTCTTGACCGATTTTAATGAACAAGGTTTCATTTTTAAGAGGAAGGTTTAATCTGTTTAGACTGTTCTTGCGGAGTTTTGAAAAAGATTTATTTTCTTTGAAAAAAATGATGTTAAAAAATGGTATTTTTTAAGAATAGTTTATATACAAATAAAAATTGAAATTATCCATCAAAATTGGTCAAAAATTACTTCTGTTCATTGATGGCGTAAATGCTGTTTTCGACATTTTTCGTGAAGAAAAAGTTTAGTACTACGGCGCTCCTTGAAATATGCGGCGAAAAAGAAGAAGCTCGTATCTTCACTACTGATTTTCATATCACGCTTGAATGGTGTATGTTCCGTGAAGTAGCGATTACCTGTTTGGTTATATGCGTAAATAGATTTTTTGAACATTTCCAAACGCAAAGAAATGAGTTTCTCGATGCTCGCACGGAGAAGTTACGGTAATTCATTTGATCATTTTAATAAACTTTGATCAGATAATTCTATGGTAAAAATATAGAAATACATGTTCAATGACATGTATTGTCAAGTTTTACATGTTTATATCAAGAAATTTGAGTTTCTAAAACATTGTTAAATTTTGAAAAATTTGTAGTTTCTTTTAAATTTTATAGATTAAAAAAGAGAAATTCTATAAGCAATGTGTAGTACATTGGCAAGCGTATAGGATTCGTAATTAAGGAATTGTAAGTTCGAGATTAAAAAATATGATTCCGGTAGCTTTTTTTTATTGTATCGATGTAAACGAAAATAATGAATTAATTTACTTTTTTTCCTTATTTGATAATATAGTAAGGTATTGATATCTAATCTTTTATATTTATTTTCTCCAGTGATGGCTGACGTGAATTTCGCAATGATCTGTGCTAGATAGGACATAGCAACAGTATAATTTTGTTCGATGACAAATGCATACAAAATATATACATTTGTCGATTATTTTTTCAAAATTAATAACTAGTGAACATATATATTATATATTATTTTTAATAAAGATCAAAACATGAACTCGTTTCCATATCATCTACGAGATTTTTCTCCCAGCACTATTTTGTTGTTTTTTCCGTAGGAGTGCACTTTATATTATTACTATTACTACTACTATTCCTATAATAATAATATGTAGTGTAATAATATATTCATAAAAGTAGTAATAAGAAGAAACAGAAGAATATACACTTATATTGTATACATCGTGACACATAATGACGGTGATAACAAAAGAAGAAAAGAATGTATCATTTTACGTGGTTGTTTGACGCACGAATCTCAACAAATCGTGTCCTTTATAATTTCGATACATGACTGCCTATCGATAGATATATCTAATACAAACGACATATGAAAAAAATACGAAACGTGTCTTTTGTTTTTTTCCGATATTGTTTCTTTTTATCTTACTACTTTATAATCATTATGCATGTTCCACACTGTTTCTTACTTATGATCAGTTGAAGCTAATTGTTTTTACTATTATAATACAAAATATATTAAATAATATCTAGATGTATATAAATAATGTTTAAGTACATTTTATTATTATTTTATTATATTATATTATTATTATCATTATCAATAGTAATAGTAGTAGTCAAAATAGTATAGAGTGCACTAGTCCTACAGAAACACAGAAACAACGTAAAAAAAAGCGCTGGGAATTCTACTTCATAGGTAATGTGAACATGAACTCATGTTTTAATTTGTATTAAAATAATATAATATATGTGTTCATTAGTTATTTTTAACAAATTTTCAACGAATTCTTATTTTTTGTCGCAGATTTATATACTAATTCTTATATGTATCAATTTTATTTATTATTTTCTATGCATTTATCGTAAAACAAATGCATACAGATATCGTATCTAACACGGATCACTGCGAGATGCGCATGCTACCATCAAAAAAAGATATACATATGAGAGATTGAAAGTGTACGTTCACAGTCTACCAAACTACTTACTCTACCTACACGAAACTAACTGTTATTGTCGTAAGAGGGAAATAACTTACAAGCTTATACACCGATACGATAGACTCACGGTGGAAACTGCATTCTCCGTTTGTATTCGTAATTCATATTTTCTCCATACCTGTCGTTGAAGTCATACACGCTTTGAACAAAAGGTAGTGAAACAGCCTTAATCAATAATCTTTGATGTAGTAGTTATATTTTTATCAGTATATTTTAAGAAATACAAATACAAAATAAATAAAATATTTTAAGTATAAGAAATGTATAAAAATTTCTGATGCATCTGTACTTTATTATTAACAATATCAGCGTGCAGAAATATGTATAGAGAGTATCATGTTTTATTGCACCAGTATTAACAAATTTTAATTGATTAATTGTTATTTATGAAATTATACATAATTATTTGGTTTTTCTTTCAATATATATGCATTATATATATTGTATTATCATATATATGTATTATTGTTATTTAATAGTTTTTCAAATATTCAATGTTTCTGACTATGTCTATCATAGTATTTACCTGAATATTTACTATAGTGATCACTATATCCATCTTCTTGATATTTGTCTTCAGCTTTATAAAAGACTTCAGGTGCTGATCCAACTTGTTTTTGCCAATAACGTGTCCAGTAGAGATCTTCTGGATTTATATCATGTGGATGGTTAGCATTTCTGAATACATGTACACAATATACAAGGCTTCCTATCAATGTTAAGAATCCAAAAACAAGAAAAACTATACCTAAAATCCTAGAAAAAATACGCTGCATTATTACACAGATGCGTAATTAAAAATATATACGTACAATGATTTGCTTACCATACAATCAATGGTTGAAAGAATTGTATCACTATAACAAAACCCAAAGTTACAAGGATTAAACCAAGATTCAAAAGTAACATAAGACAACAGATTCCTTTTGTATTCGGGCAAAAAGGATTAGGTGTCGACATAGTTTCTATAATAATACCATCTTTTCTTGAAGTTTGCGTCTTAACTGTTGATATTCCCGATCTTCCAGAACCATAACTATAGTGACTAGAAGCTCGATGATCCATTCTAGAGCTTGGTGCAAGGCTATGGTGAGATCCACGGCTAATAACAAAGAATAATTTTATTCATAGCACTATTATCTCTATTTTGGTATTCATTACAATTAATATAATTAATATAAAACCTTATTTCTGAAGTTGTTCTATAAGCAGCACTTGTAACATATATATCTGAACCATTGTCACAGATACTGCCATGTGATGCACTTTTATTAAATGGATATCGAGATGGACCAGAAAGTACAGATCCATGACCATTTTGTGCACTTTGCGATCTTCTCTCTTCACCTTGATCATACTTCTCTTTACGATTTTTTCTTGTCGGTATAACTGGTTTCATCTATGAAAATGTATATAATCTTTTTATTTCAACCCAAAAATTATAATTACATATAAAATTACCATTGTAGTGTGATCATTGGCCACAATGTACTCTGACATAGTACGATCCGAAGGAGCTCGCTGACTTTCTTCTTCATCTGTCAAATAATCACGATTCATACTGCCATGGTAACCTAAATATCTTGATGTATGAGTCATGTTGATCTTTTATATTGAGTTTTTTAATAACTTTTACTTTTATAAATCGATTTATCAATTTTTTCTTCCCACTTAGCAGAAACCAAAAATATAATAAAAAGTATGACCAATCCTAACGTAAAAGAGAATATATACAAATTTTGATATTTAAATATTCTCTTAAGTGAGTAAATAAAAAATACTCACTGTTAATATTAATGCAGAATATATAAATTATTTTGATAACATCATAAGCCTGAGGCAAATTGATTTAATTTATTAGACAATATCTTTTTTATTATTCTAGAAGAAAAGAAATTTATATAAAAAATTACATCAGAATTATTATATATAATAATGGATTATATATATTTATTATTATTATTCATTCCTGGAAAGTAACATTTTTCAGTTTTATATTTCAATACGTGAATACATAATGTCTTCATTATTCTCTTGTTTCATAATAATAAATAATTAAATAAAATGATCATAAAAATATTGTCATATTTTTAAATGTAGGTGTATGTGTTCTATTTTATCCATGCATCAAATACTAATTTAGTATAATGATGTCATTTAAGAAGGTTGTGTACGGTATTCACGATAGGTAATAGCGATCATATTCTATGATCGTTATTATTTATTATATTAAAATCACAAATAATTTCTCAATATTTTATCGTTGCAATACAAAATTTTACTACTATTGAAATAAAATTTTGTTATAAAAAATACAATGAAATTTTTGAATATCAATATTTCAATATTAAATAACATTTATTAATATTTAAATATTTTCAATTTTCATTCTAAAAATATTTGTTTTATCTAATTAATTTTTGTACAAATATTATGTTTAGTAAGAGTCAAAATCTTTTGCGCATGCGCAATACATCATATCGCTGTATTACTGGATCGTAATTTTGATGAAGGCACTTGTTGCTTTATCGAAAACAAATTTTATATAACAAGAATATTTATAGTTGGACATCATCCACAGATATGTGTAATTCTGAATATAAAAATATAGAAAAATTCAAAAAAATATGTAGCATTAATAGATGTCTTATATAAAACAGGTGTTTATTATTTATTGTACTTTCTATTCGTAGTAGTCGATAGTATCAGTTTTTAACAAGTTCTATAAGTATTTTATGTAATCTAAAATATATTGTATATATAAATATATTATAAATAAAAGAAAGTGAAGAAAAGAAATAAAATGTAATATTTTTTTTTAAATTATTGTATTCTCAAAATGTTTTATTTTGAAATTTATTCATCAACTTACTTTTGATCTAATATACGTCCTATCTCCTTATTTTCATAGGAATGCACTAGATAAAATGTTTTCCAAGTACTCAAAAATCCTTTTCACAAATATTAATAATATTTTCATGCAGTTTGATATCTTATAGATTCGAGAAACGTGTATTGTGAGTTCGCTAAGAAAAGTTTTTTTATATTCAACATTTTCTTATTCGACATAAAATAATTAGTTTACATCGAGTTAACTACGTTGTAACGCCAATGAAGGTGTATAAACGTTTCGCTGACTCTTATACTACTACTACTACTGGAGAGAACGGCGTGTCAAAGCGAAAGGTGCATTCATCGTGGTGTAGTCTCTAAAGCGCTTCTGCAGCGCCTTTAAAAGGTAAGATAAGGTCAACTGCTTTTGCGCGTTTATAATATTCAATAAGTATCTACGTAATGAACAATCCTTTTTTAAGAAAGAATAATATACTGTATTTTCTAAAAGAAATTAAAAGGAAAGGTATTTATTTTGTTTTTTCGTTTAATTAAAAGAAACTTTTAATTAAAAGAATTTTTTAGTTAAATGCGTTATTTTTAAAAAATATCTGAATCCCTTATTATTTTATATTATTTTGAATTTCTTATTGTAATAAATACCAAATTTCTTTATATCTATAAATATTTGAATAACAATACATTTTTATATGTTTAATAAACATTTTTACAAATTGCACATTTAAGTTATTTGTTTTTAATATAAGAATCATTCTGCAATTAATGTTAAATATTTATTTTATATATTATAATTTTTTCATTGTGTATAGTTTAACAGAACTTTTATTATATTAAATTTGAAATAAATGAAGTAATATCAAGCCATACTTATAAATAAATCTTATTATAAAATAAATAATTTAATAGTAAAATTAAAAACTATATAAATTCTACAGTTTTTCAATTGTTATTATAAATTTTTTTATTTTTTTGAAATGTTTTATATTATTATAATTTGAAATTTATTTTCAAAGTAAAATAACCAATAATAATAAGGAATTATTTTTTTTAACCAATCAAACAAATTTATATAAACGTTACGTGTTTCTATTGGTAGGAACTTATTTGAGAAAGGATTGTGTTTTATAGACTGTATACGCTTGAGATGCTAATGTCTTTCGTTTGTGGCAATTCATATTTTTTTATTAAATAATTTAGTTTATATATATTATTTAATAATATAATAATTCTGTTAAATGTATTTGTTAAAGAATTTTGTTATTTGAATTCTTTGGTAGCTATTACAGTATAAATATATCATGTAAGTCATTCACAAAATTGATTATAATAACATCACATTTATTATTAAAATATAAAATATTTTATTAAAAAAAAAAATTTATAAAAACTTATATAACATATTTTATTGAAACTATTTCTTATAGAATGTTAAATTAAAGAATGATTATCTTTTATTTACGGAAGTTTTAGGTTATTTACTTCTGGTTTCGCGCCAAAATTAAACATCAAATTTGCTAACCTTAGAGATATTGCTACCGTGAACAAATTTAGATAAATATCTTTTTGATTTAACAGAAAAAATTTTTGTTGTACTTCTTATATACATTAATTAGATTTTTATGTGAATGAAGGATGTAAGATGTCCCAGCACGGTGCTGCACTGCAAACATATAATCAAGAATTAGTAAAATGTAAGTTATTTTTTATTAGAATTGTATATATATTATTTATTTTTCTTCCATAGTCAAGTTCGTATAGATCTGTTAATGTATACTTTATTAAAGGAGTACATTTTTATAAAATATCATTAATATTTGATATTTGTAATATATCTGTCAAATTTTTTCAACAGTTTTTCTGAAACTTTTTCAAGGTTTGGAAGAAATGAAGTTGAGACGAGCAGAATTACAAACACAAATTGAAGCACAAGAAGAAGAAAAAAACAATCTGCAAAGAGAAATAGAGAAAATGTCGCATAAACTTACAAGATTAAATGATAGTCTTGCTAAAAGAGTAGCTGTTAGAAATGAATATGATAGAACTATTGCAGATACAGAAACAGCATATATGAAAGTAAGTTATATTTATTTGTAGCATTCTATATTAATTATTGTATATATATGTGTAATAATATGTGCATTATTGTGTAATAATGCACATTGTATACATTATTTTAGATTTTAGAAAGTTCGCAATTATTACTTAATATGATAAAGAGGGAAGCTACAAATTTAGTGAAGGCCAGTATGGATAAGCAACAATTTAGACAATGATGAAATAAAAATATTAATAAATTTTTTATAATGTATTTATTAAAATATTCACATTATATTATCTATTAAAGAAATTGATCTACCAGTTTATAACAAGTACAAAATTGTAAATATTTTCTATAAGATAATAGATTATTTTGTAATTATACATTATATTGAAATATTAATGTATTGTATAAATTTTTCATAATCTATTTATAAACACAATAATGTACATATATGTATTTTATCGTATGGTGTATGGTCATTTAAATAGGCATTATTTTCATAGGAATATTTTTTTATTATTAAAAATTGCAGATAGATGTATTTAGGAATATAATGATGATGTAATAGTTTCTAAAAATTTTAATTTATATCTAATATTAGTCAATTATCGAAACTAATTCGTATTGCCTTAACTTTTCTATTATAGATTATTGTTCTGTATTACATAAAGACTGACCAAAGATTGTAGATTCATTTATAAGTATATTTTATATTTGTAAAAATTTCTGTAATAATACTACTTGTATCATACTTAATACTTCGTTTTTTGTAATTATATTAAGTGTGATCTACAATATAATGATAGTAAAACATAATTTGTTTAAACGTTAATATTTTTATATGTCTCTGTTTTATTTGTACCGACAAGTAGAGAAATATATAATTAATACAGATTAATATTTCAAACAATAGTAAGAAATGTCTTTTTTAATGAAAATGATAATATTAAATTAAATCAAGTTAAATTAATTTTACATCTCTTATAAAATTATATATTTTACACATAGTTTATGCATTCCCAAGAGCTTTTTGTTCATTCCAAACTTGTAATAATTCATTAGGATCTCCATATCCATGAGAAGTAATTACATATTTGTAATTGAATTTTGTATAATCTTTTTTATAAAAATGAAATTCTTCACAATGAAATGGTTCTATATCAGCTTTTTTAGCTACTAGACCCAAAAAAATATCATCGAATTTGAAGTGTTTTGTATAAAAACTGGTATAATACATATCCAAGAGAGCTTCTTGTGAAATTATATATGCACCAGCAGTAACATATGGTGGCCATAAATGATAAGGATATTCTTCCAATGAAACATACCACTTCGATGATTTGTGACGATGCGGAGAAGAAACAAACACAAAACCTGCAAATAATCTGACATCTTCTGGAAGTTCAAAATCAAATATTTGTCTTTTCTTACGAATTGATGATTCTGTTTCATTATAAATATATGATATATTTTGAAAGATTCTTTTCTCATTTACATTGTTATTTACTTCTGTAAATACATTTTGAGTATCTTTGCTATTATTATTTAAAGTTGTAGTTAGTTGATTTTCTATACTATAGTTTTGATTATTAATATTTTTCTGAGTAGGAAAAGAAACTTCAGACAACTGTACTAATTCTGCATTGGAAGGCAACTCTTCTTTAACATAGGTATTTGTATCAGATGTATATTCTGTATTTAGATAATTCATTTTGTTCTTTTTGTTCAATAAATTTGGTATATATGAAAAATTTATTTTCGGTACATATGGGTATTTTATTTCTCTTTTCTGAGAAATTTTTTTTGGTTCTTTTAAATAATCTGGATAATTAGTGGGATTTCTTATAAATCTTAAAACATTTTTGACTGAAACATACATATCATCATCAACAAACATATAAAATTTGGAATTAGAGCAGTATTTTACTGCCCATTTAAAACCCATCATTGTTTTTATGGTATTATTATAATATGTATCTATAAAATTTGCTTGCACAATGTCTTTGTATTTCGTTGCTTCAAGTTTTATTTTAGTTTGTAATTTTTCATTGTCTTGAAGAATACCTAATAGGAAAACTGTTCTTGATGGAACATCGAAAAACCTTTTTTCAAATCCCCATGAATTTCGTATCGCTATCCTTCTATCAAAATTCTGTACAGCTGATTTAATTATGTATACTACACGAAACTTACTATGCTCAGTTTCTATACATTTTTCTTCACTATTATGTACAAAAGAATAATTATATACATTGATTGGATCAACAGCAGGTTTCTGATTATATCTTAATGCATTTACAAAGTCATGTATATCACCATTATAAGGATAAACAAAATGTTTATCATAGGTAACTTCAAACATGTGAGTAAATGCTCCAAAATAATTTAAGAGCATAATAAAACTAATAGAAAGAATAATATATTTAAAGTTGAACTTTGATATGAGCTTGAAGCTCGCACGATAACAAGGGCGTAATAAACAATACATTTTGTTACAGTTCTGATTTTAAAAGAAAATTCTTACATATTATATTATATGAGCTACTATTAGTCTTCGTTGTTTGTAAAGCAACATATCTATAAAAAGAATTAAAATAATTCTGTTAATATATTTGTTTCTTTTATAAGTTGTAAGAAAATAATAAATACTTACAATTCTGATTTTACAAAGCAATGATCTATAAGTTACAATCAAATAATAAGCAATAACATAGTGATGATTCATTTGATTATTGTATTCCTGATGTTTGTCTGCTGAAATATATTTGATTAATAATGGATAAGTTTTTAATTGACACTACAGTAGTGTGTGTAGGAATTTTATAATATTTTCTATCTATAAATGGCTCTAATGTATTGATATTCCACGTGAGCCGATCAGAATATTTGAAAACAATAAATACATTGACACCCATTGATACCGATTAAGAATGACAATATAACCTTTTTCATGTACACAATTTTTCATTAATTTTTTTAATATTATTGAACAGATCACCAAATAAATTCTTTATTGTTTTTTATTTTCAATTTTTTAGAACAGATATTAATCGAATTATATATTAATTGTATTACAATCGAATTGAATATTGAAATATATATCTTAAATCGATAATATGTAATTTCGATTCTCGAATTTAGTTCAAGTTAAGCTATATAAAAAAGTTATTTATAAATTGAACATTTATAATTATAACATAAGTTTATGTCAATTCAATATTTTTTTTAGATTACATTATTAGAAAAGAAAATAATTATTATAAATTTAAAAAAATTTCTTAAAAGGCGCGAAATTCAATTAAAGTTGTTATAAAATTGGTAATGTTTTTTGCACAATGAATTTTATTAATAATTATTAAAAGAAGTTTTCATTAAAAAAAGAAAAAGAAAATGAAGAAATCTTTTCAAAAAAGGACACCGACAGTATCAAAAGATAATATTATCGAGAAGAAACCTTTCGGATTTTGTTGCAATAAGAGAAATTTAGATCCTCAAACTCTTTATAATAAATGGCCATCACCTTTTAAAGGCTCTTTGACTGACGTAGTCGTTGGAAGTGGTGGTCCAAGTTTAAAATTTCGTATTCAAGATGTCTCTCGATTACCTTTTCCGATTCAACGTATTATGTCTAGAACAAAGGGTATACCTTTTCTTGGTAATTGCAAACGTTGTCGTAAACCATTGCGTTGGTATTTAGAAGATGAAATTGCACTTGCTCGAGATATTTTGGCTCGTGAAAGACAATACCAATATAATTTTGAAATAAGTAAAAATGTCGAAATAGCAAAACATAAAGGTAAAACTTATTCTTTTATTGAGATTTTTTTCCTAACAAATAGTAATCTAGAGGAAAAATTTGATCAATTTCAATTATTAATTTAGAAACATGGCGTAAAGATCGTAAGGTAAAACGTAAAATGATGGAAAAAATATAAAAATACGTATTTTAATATTGATTTTTGAAGAAATTATATATTCAAGATTTAATTTCTAATTTATTTCCCCAACATATTCTTGTATTTATTATTGTAAAAATATCTCCTTTATTTTTTATTTCGACAAATGAAATTTATAGTTGAAGTAGAAATGTAAATTTTAATACAAAAGATAAAGAATATTTTTGAAATATTTTATTAAAAAATATATTTAAGCAGAATACAAAAATTCGTATAATTTTAGATTTAATCACAAGGTATTAATTTTAGTAGTTCATAGGTTTTATAGTTTTAGTTAATAGTTTATATTTTTATAGAAACAAAAACAGAACTAAAACATTGATATGAGTCTAAATTCGAAAGTAAATAAGCATTATTCTTATTATATACTTTTTATCTGTCCACAGTAGTATTAAAAAAATACGATATATATTTTATGACAAATATATATATCGAATGATGTGTATTACATATTTTAAATTAATAATTATTATAGTATAGATCAATTCATTTTTGAAATATTTACTAATAAATTATTGATTGATACAAATGTAGAAAACAATGTATTTAAAATATATCTAACAAATCATAAAAAGTAGAAATATCTCCTTTATCAATTAGTTTTGCTTTATCACTTCAGTAATACTGATATATATTTTTAGTTGTTTGTTCCTTTTCGATATCATCATCAAAATTAAAAAATAAGTAATATATATGTATATAATATATTTGATAACATAATTTCAAACTTGTACAAAAAGTCGAAGTAAAGAAGTATTTGTAATGGTTATAAAATTGAAAAATTCTTGGAAGTAAATGTATATAAATAATTCTTTTTAATATCAATTGAAATAATAAATAACAAAGTTATAGTTTTTATTCGAACTTACAAATTTGTTGTGTGTCAATATTGAAAAAGAATAATTCATAAATATTTAAGCATTAAATGTCCCATAATGTGTCATATATCATAAATATGAAAATTATATACTGTGGATAGAAAATGTTTTTATAATAAACATGCACAATCTTAGTATTGATTTAATGAGTTAAACTGAATTAATCTTTGGTGAAATATTTGTTTAAATGGTGGCACATGAAAGTTTTTATTAAATAATTACAAAGAAAAATATTGAAGTTTGTTTAAAATGAGTAATAAACTTAAACAGTGAAATAAACATATCTTAATAGAGTTATGTATGTGTAGTATGTATATATGCATACACCACATATATATCACTATAAAAAAAACAATAAACAAAAATTTTAACCAAAACAAAAGCAAAAATAAACATCATAAATTAATTTTTATATCATTTTAATGCCTTCTTGGATCTGTTATAACTTCATACTTGATTTTGTTAATCCTGTTATAATGATACCATATGCATGGGAATGTCATCTTCTATGGCCATGGTAAGTACTTCCCTTTTCTTACTACTTTTATGAATTTACCTTCAATGAACCTTTTTTCTCAAAGATATTGTCCCTCATCACATTAAGCAATTCATTTTCTCATCATAGTTCTTCATGATAAATTTGTTTTGTTTGTGTTTTCTTTTCATAAGTTTACATGCATTTACAAAATCAGTCTTACATATAAGTAATTGTTTTGGTGATTCTGTAATATTTTTATTTTCAAGTTAGCTCTATCATTATTACTATTAATACATTAAAATACGATTTTCTACACTGTAAATACTTACTGTTGCTTTCCAATAGAAGTCTATACACTTGTCTCTTCTGTATCTTTTTTTAAAATATTTTCAATTGCCATACATGTTTCTGATTTTTCTGTATCAGACACGTCCAATGAACAAGTAATTTTTTCCTGTCTTACAGAATTTTTACTAATGCTAACATTTGATAAGGATGTATTGGGTGCACATGTTATTTTTTGTTTGTCTAAAGATTTTTCAATGACTTCAGTATTTTCAATTACTTTGAGGTCAGTTTCTTTTGAAACTAACATATTGGGAGAACATTTTGTTTCTTCTTTGTCTGGAGATTTTTCACTGGTTTTAATATTTTCAACTACTTTGAGGTCAGTTTCATCTAAGAATATATTAAGAGAACATCTCATTTCTTCTTTGTCTGTTGCTTTTTTATTGGTTTTAGTGTTTTCAACTACTTTGAGGTCAGATTTTTCTGAAGTTGATACATCTAAAGAACACTTAGTTCGTTGCTGTTCAGATAATTTTTCATTAATATCATTAGTATTGACAACTGTAAGATGAATTGATCCTTCCACATCTTTATTGTCTTTCTTTTCATTATCTCCATTATTTATAATTAGATCATAATTAATGTCAAAGTTATTATCTACTTTTGATATTTCTTGTGTTATCAAATTTTCTGTACTAGACTGTATAGTATTTTCAATATCCTCTATATTAACAGAGTCCTCATTTTCACTATCTCTGTGAGTATCTTCGATCATATTCTTTATTATGTCATCAATAGTAAGTTCTGTTACATTAGTAATAGAATCTGTTTCCTCTATTGATGCAATAATAGATTCATGAATATGTTCTTGTTCTAGTAATTCTACTGAACTCTTTTCGTTAACAGAAGATATAATAATATTGGTTGTTTTTTGTGTTAACTCATTCAATTTTTCAGGATTTTCTTTCGTATTTTTTATTTTATTATATAATTCTATATTGCTATTAGTTATCTGTTCCGCTACTGTACATTCTTCTGATTTAGTGTTAATATTTTTGCACAAAGGTAAAAGAATTTCTGTAATATCTTTTCCATTTATGCTTAATTTGACATGCATAGGATCTTCATTGTCAAGAATTTCGAATTGAAACATTGTTGCTCCATCAGCAGCAAGATCTTTAAAAGTTTTACAAGCTTCTTCAGACCAAGATAAAGTATAATGTGGTATTTGTAGAGCACATCTTTTGGATAATGTAGGAATATTTACAATATCTTCAGGTAGTATTCTTAATTCTGTATTAATGGCAGTATTGCCATAGTCTATATATAAAACATTCACTCCATTTCCATTCTGCGATAATATTTTTGCTCTATACCATTGTTCATCGTCTGGATATTTAGCTGCACAAATAGTTCCATTCTCTAAATTTGTTAATGGAAGAAAGCTGGGTGCAGCTTGTAGACGATCCGACATTACTTCTAATTCAGCAATACTGGCTTCTGCTTGTATCCAAAATTCAGCTGGTGTATTAACATGACTTACTACAACATTTGGTGAATTTTCTTCTCCAAGAGGTGGTAATCTTTCTTCTATATTCGTTATTCGCTGTTCACAAAAAATAGCTAATAAATCTGTTATATTTTTCTCATTTAAAGTGAGTCTTACTAATGATGTTTCTTGTTCCTTCAAAACATCCAAAAGAAATATTGTAGCGCCATCAGCTGCTAATTTTGTAAATTCTTGACATGCTTCGTTAGACCACTCAGTTACACCTTCAGGAAGAGCCAAGCAGCATCTTCGAGATAAAGGTGCTATTTTTACTAAGTCCTCTGGAATAGCACGAATTTCAGTAGATATAGCTGAATTTCCGTAGTCAATGTATATAACTTTTGTTTCACCATTATTGTGAGATATTACACGTGCTCTATACCATTGTTCATCTTCTGGAAATTTAGCAACGCACAATAAATTTTCTTTTATCTCATCTACTTTAGGGAACATATCTGCAACCATAAATCTATCAGACATTACTTCTAAGTCAGCAATGGATTTCTCTTCTTGAACCCAAAATTCACTTGGTGAATTAATATGACTCACAAACGCAGAATGTGGATCTAATTCTAACTCTACTATTTCATCTATCAGATCTTGCTCTGCATATATTCTTACAGCATGGTGTTCTTCAACTAATATTTCACTGATACTTTTATCATTTACGAATAGTTCAACTCGTTTTGGTATACTGTCAGCAATTATTAAAGCTTCTAAAGAATTAGCTGTCATTACTAAATTACTAAAACGATCACAAGTCGCTTCACTCCAATCTTCAGAATCTACAGGAATAATATCTAATCTAGATTTGGTTGCATATCTTTTCATTGATTTTAAGTTATCTGTCAATGTTCGAATATTTCCTGATTTGTTATCGATTACATCTGTATTTCCATAATCAATAAATCGTACTGTTGTAATATCTTCATCGGCATCAAGAACTTCTGCTCTATACCACATATTATCAATAGAATAAACTGCTACACAAAGAGAATTTTCTTCTAAGATGCTATCTATTAATGGACACGTAGAAATATCAGCTTGTAATTCTAGATATTTTTGTCTAAGAATTTCAGCCTCATTTGTTAATTGAATCCAAAACTGACTTGGAGAATCAATGTGAGAGACACAGACATTATATTTTTTACCAGCTATTAACTGATCATTTTTTGACTCATTTTCAGCTGAAAGTTTTACTAAATTCAATGAACGGAATTTATCGCTAATCTTTTCTTCGTTATCAAATAATTCAACTATCCACTTCTTGTTTACATTAGAAAAATTTGCAGTAAGGTTTCTATTAAATAATTGATCTTGTAATATATTTATCTGTTCAGATAATGTACCATTTAGAGTAACTGTCAATGAAGCATTAATTGCTAATTGGTATGGTACAAAAAATTGTGGATCCAATTCCATCAGCGATTCGATACTAACTTCTTGTGTATTTCCATAATCAATAAAATTGACATAAACACTCTTGTCAGTGAATTTAATGACCTTCGCTCTATTCCAATAACCATCTACACTTTTTACAGCACATAACATATCTACCTCTGGTTTCAATGTTTTTCCACAGTTAGCGTAATGTTTTTCCAATGCTTGACTTAAGTGTATATCTTTTTCATAATCTACACTACGTTGTAGCCAAATACTTCCTGAATGATCTATATATAATACTATTATTTTATAAGTTTGATTTAAAATAGGCGTTGGACAAATTGGATATATTTTTTCATCTGTATCTTTTTGGCTTTTTATATTATTACCCATCAAATCATATAATTTAACGATAAGCCTACAATAAAAATGGATTTATATTAGTTTATTTATAATTATTATTTATAACTTTAAGCTATCATTTTCATTACCTGTTATTATTGACTTCTTCTACATACATAATCAATTCCTTATTCTCAATCATTTCTTTCCAATTTTTATTCATTTCAAAAGATGATGCATTAAGAAGACAGCATTCTATTGGTTGATTCTGTTTATCAGTTAACATCTATATTGATAAATATAGTAACAATTAAAAATTATTTATACATATATACAAAAAAGTAATTAAAAACATTTTATCTCTAATTTATATTATATTATTTTATATAATTACATAATGAGATATAATACCTCGAAATTTTTGTTAATCATACGTTTATCATTGCTATTCTCCATAATTGAAGAAAGTTCAATATGAAATTTGCTTGCACTTTCCACATTACAAACTTTTACTTTTAATATTTGTCCATTTAAAAGATTGGTATCTATTTTTTGTATATAAAGAGGTTTATCTAATTCAGTAGTTGAATTTTCTATTAATAAAGGTATTTTTTAATTTTAAAGGTATCCATATAATTTAATATGAACTTTAATATGAATAAACTTACCATCAGTAGGCATGATAGTATTTGCTACAGCATAAGATGCTAGATTTTTATTTACTAATATATCAGCAACATCTTGTCCACAATTATTCAATGAAACAATATACTTGTCATTTTCTATATTATGAAATAAACATCCATATTTATCAGCATTAAAACAATCATCAATTGCTTGTGTATTAACTTCAGACCATTTTGAACCTATGAAAGGTTTAATATTTTGCAAAGAACAATGGTATGCTTGCTTCGGAAGCTGCATTAATTTTCTTTCAACTTGATAAATATCACTTTTATTTACCAAAGCACGATTTCCAAAATCAATATATTGCACAATATATTCATCATTTTTACTTTCAATAATTTCAGCACGATATAATGCTTTATCTTCAGAAAATATAGCTATTACAGCTGCACCTATCTATTCATAAATAAAATATTATTTTATTATTATATTATTATACCTGATTACACTATGTAAAAGATATAGTAAATAAAAGATATCAATACCTGCAATGTATATGTAACAGGCTTTCTACTAACATACATTCTTTGTATTTCATTCATCATGTTTCTGAATTCAACCTCTTTATCAAGTATTTGACAATAAAAATTATTAGGATTTATAAACCATGTAATGATTATATCTTTGTGAGATCCAAGCTCAAACTGTTCCATTATCCACTTTGAATTAGGTGGTATATAATCATATTCGTTAGTTTGTTCTACTATGTCCATTTGCTTTATTTGATTTAATGCTATCTCTCTAACTTTCATTAGATCAGTACCGTCAAAAAAAATTTCATTTATGTATATAAATTCTGGCATACCATCAACAATTTCACGTAGCATAACTTCGTAAATATTATTTTCTTTTGTTAAAAATTCTATTTCTAAAACTTTTCCATCAGTTATCTTTGAGAAGTTTTCAATAGTATCTAAATCCCATATTTGATTTTTTGCTGCAAATAATTTGCAATGAATTGTCTGTATTGGTAGTTTCAAAAATTGCTCTTGGATTGTTTTGATTTTGTCTAAATGAACTATTTCTATATTTCCATAATCTATAAATTGTACAATTACTTGTTGTTTTTCTACAGATTTAATAACAGCTCTATACCATTTAAGATCTTCACTGTATTGAGCAATACAATATTTTTCAGGCTTTATATCCGATTGTTTTAAGGGATCTCCACCATTTTCATACGTCAATGCAATATTTTCCATAAGAGTATTTAATTCTAGATAATTAGGATTTAACTGAATATAAAAATCAGTTGGACTACTTATGAAAACTGTCATACACGTTCTAATAGCTCCAAGTACAACATTTAATGAAGGTATTTCAATATTCTTTGAATTTAATTTTGATAGTTGAAGTTTTTTATCGTTTTGCATACTATTATTTGTTGTTCCTAAATTCTTTGACATATCCCTAGATTCGGAAGAACTCTCTTTGTTAGATATGACATTATTCTTATAATTCGCTCTATCTTTTGAATGATGCACTTTTTGATTATATTGACTATTTGTTTTTCCACTTTTGTTAACTTCTTTGTCATTATCATTATCGTTCCATCTGCTATTGTGTAATCTTGCTGATACTCCTTCTGTATGAGACCTTCCACGACTACGACGATTAGGACCACTACCTCTAATTCGTTTACCACTACTTCTGGATGATGTATCAGAATCTTTATCGCTCCAGTTTTTATCAAAACCACTACTGCGATTGAGTTTAGAATCATTGCCGAAAGATCTACCTCTGCAGCGAAAATCTCTTCCAACCTTATAAAACGAATTTGAATCATAATTTCGTTTATTATACGGCTCATCCTTTATTGTTTTGTTATTTTTAAGTCCATCTTTACTAGATCGATCATTTCTTGATGTGTCATGGAAGGAATTCGATTTTTCATATCTATTATCTTGTTTTTCTCCATTTAAGTCATTTTTCCAAGGTTTTGATTTAGTATGTTCAATTGACATGTTTTTTGTAGGTTCTTCCTGATTTATTTTATTCCCTTTATTTGCATTATCACTAGAAATAAAAATTAATTCATATTTTTTGCATAATAAAAGTACATAGCAACAAACATAACTATGATTATAATAATACATAAAAAGCTGTTTAAATAAGAGCAGTAAATACAATAAAAAAATAAACTGAAAACATATAAACGATTTATATTTGTTTTTACTGTTACTTTCACATGCATTCTTAATTAAAATAATAATTAAGAATATATTAATTGTAGTTAGAGATATTAATATTGAATAGCACTGATGTTCAAAGTATAATAGAAATTAAATAATTGTTAAAGAAAAAAAAGATAAGAAAAGAAAAAGAAAAAGGTTTATTTTAAGCAAAATTAAGTTTAGAGAATGTTATAGAAGCGAAATATAAGCAAAGTATGTAGAAATGAAAAAAATAATTTTCATTCTTTGTTTTATTAAATTTGTAAAGAAGAAGAAAAGAAAAATTATATAGAAATATTTGTTTTGGTGTTTATTTTACCGTATTTCTTTTATATTCTTCGATTTATTTTTTACTTGAGTTTTTATATTTAATGGAATCTTTGTATAGTACCTAATATACATAACAAATTATATTGTAGTTAATTAGATATTGTAAATGTAATTTTAAAACTAGACTATTAGAGAGAAAATTTGTCATTGTACAATTTAAAAGAAATATACTACCTTAAAAGAATAATATTACCTTTGCATTTTTTTAGGGACTTTTATAGAACTTTGATATTTACTTTCATGGGAATTTGATTTAATACTTAAATTTTTCTCTGAAGGGAAAAGTCGATGTAATAAATTTTTTATATCATCCCTAATCTCAGGATCATATAAATCAACCAATAAACCACCAGGAAGTACGTCGATAACTGCCATGTATAGACATTTCTCCAAAATTAACATTTCAAATTGATTGTAACATTCTTCACCAGTTGGTAATGTGTCATAATCCCTTAATATACATTTTATTGCTTGTGCTGGTAGCTTTGTTACTAAATCATTATGAATTACACGCAAAGATTCTGCAGTTACAGTTACTTCATTGCCATAATCTACATATAAGATTCTTATTTTGTCTTCATCAACATTAAGAATTTTTGCACGGTACCTAAAAATGAATTATTAATTGTGTATGTGTTTTATTATTAGTCATATTATAATATATTAATGTTTACAATTTACCATTGAGATTCGTAAAGAGCAGCACAAGGTGTTCCTACTGATATCTGATTTGGATGCAAAATAGGCGCAGTTTTAACATAATCAGCCAAATAAATCATTATGGATTCAAGAGATTTATCAGAATTATTGAGTTGAACAAAAAATTTTTTACAACTTTCTACAAAAGAAACATGTACAGTTCTTTCTGCACCTTTTGATAATTGTTGTGGTTCTTTATATACAACCATATTTGACACTATTGGAACTGCAAATGCTTGTCTAAGAATATCTTTTATATTTTTCTCATTATCATACAAATCTCCATATTGTATAAGTGGTGGACCTTCTGGTGGACGGACATGTAACACAAGTGATCTTCCTGATACTATTTTTTTAAAATATTCTGTCATTTCTGGTGTAACATTTAGTTCCTTCACTCCACTTAATGTAAATCTGATTGAAAGTACTCTAGGATTGATATATTGTGGTGGTAATTGAAAGATATCTGTATATGGTAATACTTCAGAATGACCAAAATCAACATAGTATAATTTACACTTATTTTCCATTACAGCCATTACTACTGCTCTGCATAAGACTTTATCTACTGTGTAACGACCTAAACATACTGATCCAGGTAATGGAGGTTCTTGTAAGGGTTCCGTTGGATGAGAATTGATATCTCTCATAAGTTTAGTCAATATTTCTGATGTACTTTGAACTTGAACAGAAAACTTTTGTGGCCCATCTTCAACGAAAGATACATATACATGATATTTAGAACCAACATCTAAAACTCTTGATTTAAATACTAATGCTTCCTGAATTGGTGTATGGGTTACAAGTTTTTGTGTTTGTACGTAAGGTGTAGAAACATTCTGCCATGTACCTTGACCTTGCATTGTATTAAAAGCAGGATTTGAATTAGATTGTGTGCCTATACGAGTTTCATTTATCATTCTTCTATCTTGCATGTGATATGGCGATATTTGTTGTATATGTCGTGATCTAAAAAACACATCAAATTTTTATTAAAATCATATAAAAAAAATAAAGTTGAATAAACAATTTGTATGTTATTTTTATTATAACATTTTATAATTTTTACCTGAATAAATCTTGTATCGTAGCATCCATTGCCATATGTCTTTTTACTAAGAGTTCTCCAAAATCTTCATTATTATAATATAGTTTAATAAAAGTGTGGTTTCTAACAGTAGAAAGACAACAAGCTTTGTATTCATTATATCGTAATATTTTTTTAATAGTTTCTATTGTTTTATTATCCCAAACATTATTAATAGGTATAACGTTTGCTAATGTAAATTCATATGCTACTGGTGGAAATGATTGTAGTGTTTCTGATCCAGGTATATTCCTCAATAAATATACTTCATGTTGTGGTAAGATTTCAATATTACCATAATCAATGAATTGTAATACCACCTTACCATCTGGACATATATTACATACTCTAGCACGATAGTAACCATCATTTTGAAATCTTGCACAACATAAAGCATTAATAGATAGTCCTTCTTGTAACTCTGGATATCCAGATCCTATCGCAAATTTTTCAAAAAGAGGTAAGATCATTCTTTCAACATAAGTTGCAGAATTTTTATCTATTTGACCCCATATCCTTAAAAACTGATGTTCTGCTTCCACATGTGTTACGAAAATAACAAATTCCGAATTTTTTTGTATTGTCGCCATTTTGAAGCTTTCTCTGTAATAATATTAAATTAAAAATATATCACTAATCAAACGTATTTTTAAATATATTTGTAAATGACATTACACTTTCAATTTATAAAAATTTCTTGCAGTACTACATACCGTTAATAAAACTAGAAACACATTGTAAATATATATTTAATTACGGTTGTAATTTTCAAGAGAGAAAAGGCAGACTTTCTTGTAAATTATGGCTATTATTTGCAAATTCATTCAACAAAAAAGTAAACAATTTTTTTAATATTAAATTATTTACTTTCGTAATTGTATGTCTTTTATGCGATTGGCTCGCTTTTTACATACAGATCTATTACCATTTGAAAGAGAAATATTACGTAGCAAAATATGTATAAGAGATTACGATAAATAGCAGATGTACAAACCTTATGAATGTCCTACTTTACATATCCTATTTTGTGTTTTCTCGTTCGTTATAATAGTTCTTTTATGTATAAGATACTATCTTAAATATTCTTATAACACTTCACCATAATATTCCATTATCTTGATTATTACGGTACTCAGTCTAATTTTTCCATCTAGACTTCTTTTGACATATTGATTATGCCGCCAACTTTAAATTACTTCTGCATAGTTTCACCACGCACAAATTACTATACATTCCTTTATCTGATAAATTCGATTAAATTTAATAAAAAAATATTAAAAATATATTTTTTTCAATAGTACCTTCATTTATATTTTTTTATCCATCAACAAAAATATATTTATTCTAATTCACTTTAATTGTAGCTTGCAAAAATCATATAAATATAGAATATATATATATAAGTTCATCGGAAGTAAAATAAAGTAGAAAAAAGATGACACTATATGATAGTAACTTCCTTTATTTGCTATTACCGTCTTTCTTATTGGTAATTATTGGACAATTATAAAAAAATAAATAAAAAACTGTATTATTAAAATTGATGTATTATAATACATGTTAATAATACTTCTTCTCTTTAAGGTTAAAGTAATATAATTATTCAATTTAATTGTGTGTTAATTAATTGAAAAAAATATGATCTTAAAGATTTGAAATCGGGATTTGATAATTTTTCATGAAAATACGTGTTATTGCTATGTAATTATTAGTCAATGTTTGTAGATGGCGGGATGGGAGGGTAAGAAAGATGGGGTTTAGTCGTGAGATACTTGTTAATGTTTACAAACTAAAAGTTTCATGGAATTACATGTAGTATTGGTAGGTTTTAGATTATAAATCTTGCGATGGCTCAAGCTAAACATAATCTGCCAGAAACATCTAATGGTACCTTGAAGGAAAAAGAAAAAGATAATAATGAAGATAAAGAAGGTACATAGATTTATATTACAATGATTATAAAGAATTCACAAATTAGAATATTAAGTGATAAATTCGTTGTTCATAGTAAATTAACAAAAAATTATAAAGTGCGATATTCAACAGGTTCTATTACGATACCAGAATGTGCAGTTTGTCTTCAACCTTGTATACATCCAGCTAGATTACCTTGCAATCATATATATTGCTATTTGTGTGTAAAGGGCGTTGCTAATCATAATAAAAGATGTCCTATGTGTCGTCAAGAAATGCCATCTGATTTTGTTGAAAGACCGCAATTAGTAGAAGTCGATGAAGTACAAAAAGAATTAGAACGACCCGAGGAAGAGTATCAATGGTTTTATGAAGGCAGAAATGGTAATATTTGGTTATAATATATTTGTATATATTAATCATTCTTATGTGTATATATGGGCGTAAGTATCTATTAAGATAAATGTACCTGTTCATAAAATAATATAAATAGCATAATCATTAATGAAATTAATTAGCTTAGGAAAATCCAATGAAGAAGATACAATATAAACATGAAAAGGGTACAATCATATTTCTTGTTTCGAAAAAAAAAATAAGTAATGGTAGTTTTTATATATTTAAAAATTTTAAAGAATTTAGCTTAATTTTTGTTTTGAGATTCAGGCATGCTCAGTTAAATTTTTGAAAATAGCACATGCACATAGAAAAGTTGATATTCTACCACTTCTTAGGTTGGTGGAAATATGATTCAAGGATCAACAAGGATTTGGAGACAGTGTATAAACTAGGTGATACTCAATGTGAAATGTTGATTTGTGGCATGCTTTATGTGATTGACTTTGAAAACAAATGTCAGTACAGAAAATATCAGCCACGTTATAAAAGAAATATCAAACGTGATAAAAAAAATGCACAGTGTAAAGGAATTTCAGGCGTACGATAGTTTATTTCTTAAAGTAAAGTACTTGTTTATGTTGCATATATAAGCACATATTGATAATATATATGGAATTTTAATATTAAATAGTTTGGATTAAAGTAGACATTTGTAAAAAAGAAAGGCAAAAATTAACAAAAATCATTAATAGTTCTATATGTAACCATAAACAAATTTTGTTTACTTCATATTTTTTATATGACCTATCTAATGAAATAGATATAAATTTAAAATGCCAGTTAATAAAATTTGTATGCTTTATAAAATATAATTATCATTAATAATCATTTGTAATACACAAATTATGTGCTATTGACTTGACTTTATTAAATAAAAAATTCTATATTTTCTCTAAACTTATATTTATTTCCTAAGTTTCCCATTTAAAATGTGATTATATACAATAATTTATTGATAAATAGTTAACATGTATTAAGCATGACAACATTTTTATTAAAAAGTCTTTTTTAAGAACTAATAGAATAGAATTTTTATTAAAAATTCTATTAAAAAGTGCCACTAAATTTTACCTATGAAATAAATTGTTACAGGATGGTGGCAATATGATCAACGTACAAGTCTTGAATTAGAAACTGCTTACAAACAAGGGAAGAGGACTTGTGAATTATTAATTGCAGGGTTTTTATATATTGCGGATTTCGGTTCTATGCATCAATTACGTAGGAATGATCCTTCCAGGAGAAGAAGAATTAAACGGGATTTGTATAATGTTCCAAAGAAAGGAGTTGCTGGTTTAAGATTGAATGCTCAAGAAGAAGAAATGATTAGAGAAATAAGAGGTGCGGAAAGGCCATCAAGTCCTGAGAGCGATACTATAAGTACGTATTATTGAAAAAGTGTAAAAGCATAGAATTATAAAACTAAACATGTGTTTTATGATTTAGGTGCAGATGGTACAAGTACTCCTATACCTCCAAGTAATACGCCACAAACACCAGCTGGTGGAACTGCAAGTGGAGATGCTACACCACTAAATGATAGAATAGATCAAAGATCAGATTCTTTACATCAGGTTCTAGAACAAATGCGTTCATTAGTATTAAGAGAACATTTATCATTTAATAGTAATAATGACCTCGAAGAAACAGCAGAGGATGAATCAGTATCTGAACATTCTATACTTCCTTGTTTACCAACATCACATGAATTAGATGAAGGTCATTTGTAGAAAATAGAAATATGAATTTGATCTTCTTACTTATTTATAATATATCAAATTATCGAGAAATATAATGCAACCAAAGAAATATGTTATGGTTGAGAATCACAAATATAATATTAAGAAATAAATATTATTCTGTGATATGCTACAATGCGCAGAGCGTTCTTTAATATCAATTTGGGATTGATAAGAAAAAGTTCTTAAAATTTGATTCAAGAAAATATTAAAATTATTGATTATATATAATATCGAGATATCGATCAGCACTTGTAAAACAATATTGATGAAATCAATTAATGTAATATATAACTTAAGTGTTCCTAGTATTCTTTTAATTACATACAAATGAAATATAAAAAATAATTTTGGATTATATAATAAAATAAATTAGGTACTTAAAGTTTCTCTGGAAATAAAACATTTATTATATTTATTATTAAATATTATTCATTCCAGAAGAAATATTCAAATGTAATGAAATACTTGAAGTATTAAGATTACTTTCAAGTTTGATATAATATATTCTAAAATAAAGTGTTCATCTGTGCAACGAAAATTATAGTATGAATCTCATTTATTTTTACAAAAAAATGTTATTGTATTTAATTATGTACATAGATTTATTACGAGAAAATACATTATGATATTTTGCAGAACATAAACGTATATCTCAAGTTTTATATTTTTAAACAATTTGATACCTTATATTTCTTATAAATAAAATATTAATTATTTTTTCAAATGTTTATATAATTTTTCTCAAATATATATTTAATATTTTATGTTTAAAAAATGAGATAAAACTGTTTTGATATTTGAAGTTAGTACCAACTTTGACCATAAAGGTATGTATATAACGAGAACGATAAGATAGTTCGCAACCTTTCGTTCAAAGCATGTGTAACTTCAATGACATTTATGAGTAAAATATGGAAATAAAGGTGCAGTGTCCCAATGTGCCTATCGTATAAATGTATAAGCTCATGTAAGTTATACTTGTTTTGCATTTATTGGCTTAATGTAGAATATTAGTATTAGTAGGATTAATTCACACATTTTGATCTCTTATATTTATACTCTTTGATGGTAGCGTGCGTCTTGCAGTGATATTTGTCTAGATACAGTATACTCGAAAGCATTGTGTTTTATAGTGTGTGTATATATATACATACATTATATATTTTATATATATATAATAAGTGCATAAAGAATAATAAATGTAATTGGTATATATAATAATATATGCATTTACTACAAAAAATAAAATTTTGTCGATTATTTTGTCAACAAATAATACTTAGTGAATATATACTTATATATTATATGGTATTTCTATAAAAATCCAAATATGAATTCGTTCCACACTATTTATAAAGTAGAACTTCCAGCACCATTTTTTTGGAATTTGCCCTGTAAAATTAGTTCCGATTTATATTATTACTATTATTACTATTACTATCATGATAATATACAATATAATAGTATAATATAATATAAAATATAATTATAAATATAATAATAATAATAATAAAGATACTTAAATATTATCTAAGTACATTCTACATGTTTACTATTTGGATGGTCATAAGGATATTTTATTCGCGACTATTGTCGTGTATGAATGAAATATGTAGAACCTTTTGTTTGAATATTTCTTTATTTTAGGAAAGTCTAGTACGCATTAGAACAATAGGTATTTACTAAGATTCTTTTGCTGGTCCTTGAGTTTTCCAAGTCTTCAAAATAAAGTGAGTCCGCATATGGGCCGATAGCGACTTCCCTTTTGAAATTGCTTGGAAAATTATAAATTTTTATTATATTTATTTGTTTCCAAAATAGCAACGTCGGTATAAATAAATAATTAGTGAAACTAATTATTAAATTTTTTTCATATCGATCTCATAACAAAGTTTATACAAATTAACAGTTTTCCAAAATCAAGAATTAAAATAAAACCGATATAAGCAAAAACAGAATAAAAACAAACGGAACTATTATGAACTAGTGATACGATAAAGCAAAAAACAAGTAAATAGAATAACGGCGAAAACAAAAAAAAGCACTTTGGATGGTGGTTATGTGTCCGGATTATCAAAGAAACGATTTGTTGAGAATTCGTGCGAAAAATCATTTGAGATGACATAAGAAATGCACTTAAGGCTGTTCATTACTTCTGGTTTTTTAATGGATTACGCTATCAATGAGAACAGGCGTAATTCTTGACCGATTTTAATGAACAAGGTCTCATTTTAAAGACGAAGGTTTAATCTACGGCATCCTTTCGGTGGAGCTTTAAAAAACCTTTTTATTTGTGCATAAACTATTCTTACAGAAGTACCTTTTTTTAACACGATTTTTTTCCAAGAAAATTATTAATATGAATAGGTAAGTAATACTCATTAAATATAAAATTATTTACTATTATTTATATATTAAACTATTATTTAAATATTAAATTACTTTACTATTATTTACCTATTATTAGCAAATCATCTCTAAGATTTACTTTCTTATTTAATATATTTGTTGATCATAGAAAAACATTTATAAATGAATACAACTTATAATTTTATTTATATGTTATATTTTACTCTTATATTTGTCTACAATGGTAATATAATTCAGTTTTATATTTAACTGTCAGTTTGTATTCTGGTGTACAGCGTGCAGATATGTGTGATCGTAATTCGCGAAATTTACAACATAGTGAATGTATGCTTTTCTGCTGACAAGTTAAACGAATCGAAATATAAATGAAATTCCTTTTAAATACCCCTGTGAAGAGTTGTGTTATTGAATCACAATCAACTTTAAGAAAAATCGAAAATAATTACTTCAAAGATAGTTCAAGAAAATTAATCAAGTATCCTCGATCATAATTTACATTATAACTATTTACTACCTATGTGGTAGAGAGATAACTCGATCCAATAGACAAACCACATAATAACAGCAAGCTAAAATTAGAGAGAAATATAAACACAATTATAAATGAACCATTGAAAAATTCTGTTACTACTTCAAATAGATTCGCATTACTAGATTTTATTTAAAATTCTATAGAAGACATTGAAAAGCCAACAAGTCAACATCCATAAAAAATCCTTCTTCTCTACTAATCTTTTTCGGTGATGTTATTAATATATGAACAATAATAAATTTAGTAAAGTTAACGCAATCATTCATACATTTTAACTAAAACAAGAAAAGTCCTTTTATATTGTTCTTCATAACATTCATCACTCAGCAAACTTAAAAGAACTAAAACTTGAATTTTTTGAACATGGTTTAAATATGGTAATATTAAGAATATAAAGCATAGTATCACAAAAGATCTATTATTTTTAATTATCTAATAATAAAATAGTATACATCAACCGATTAATGAATTTCATAATCAACATTGAACCATTTCATAAACAAGAAAAATTGTCCAATGTAAAAGATACCAAAGATATACCGGAGATCTTCCGGTATATAAAACGAGGACTCTATCGTTTTTGTGCACAGAAACATGTGCACAAATTTTTACGAAATGCATTCTTTGAGAAGCAAGTCGTCTCTCAATCGCTTACGCTCAAATGGCCCATGAAATAAAATCAAGGTGAGGGTATTTTATAATAGCCCTTTCAGGTCACATATCCAGCTCAAAAACCCTACAAATTGGAAAAATTAATTGTAAACCAGACAGGGCAAATTATTAATATGCTATCATTACTAACAATTGTCATAAAAAAATTAACATCTAATATATCAAAATGAAATCCTTTTGTATAGCTCTTTAGAATACTTCCGGACTAGCACAAAAACAAGCTGGAAATCTTCTTAAATAATCAAGGAATAAACGTAATGCTCATTTCTGAAACGCATTTTACTATTATAAATTTTTTGAAAATAAATAAGTACAAAACATATCCCAGCGGCAAGATTCGTGGTAGCATTACAATTACTATCAAATCCAATACGAAACATGAATTTCCATCGTATAAAATGAACTAATTCAGAGTAGCGAATGCGATGATAAAAGACTGGCATAGCTCAATCACTATATTAGCATTACACAGTCCATTCAGAATTAGTATCTCTAATAAGGATTTCGGAAACTTCTTAAAAAACTTGAATAATAAATTCTTTGTGGGAGGAAACTTTAATGCTTTAAAGTTTAATTGTATTCTCAATGAGGCAGCAGAATCATCACAATAGAAGGTAGTAATCTTTTGAAAAGTATGAATTCAAACAAATTGAATTATATCAAACAAATGAACCCATATACTGATAATACATGATACAAATAAATTGCCCAACCTTTTTATAAACAATAACATCCCTCCGAGATCCACTAAAGTCTTCTTTGAAACTCTCTTCAAATTAACCACCTGTTGTTGCAATAAGTAATTCAACGTTTATTAAAAACCAAGCAAATGTAACTATTTTCAGCAAATTTACAAATCGGCAGCACTTTTTGGAGCTTACAACGACTTAATCTTATAAATAAAATAATGCAGTTGTGGAATATTTGCATGACAACATAATAAATGCAGTCCGCTCTTTCATATTTAATCAGAAGTTCGTAAGCAAATATAATTTTATTGATTTCATAAGGAAAAAACATAAAAAAATATGTTTAGAAAAATATGGCAAAGAAATAAACACAACCTGAAGATAGAACAAGCAACGAGTAGTTGACAAAAATTCTTCAAAACTTTAAAAAGGATTGTTTCCAAAAGTATTTTGGAAATTTGTGCTCCAAAATTTATCGATTCTAAATATTCACTTTGGAAGGCTTGCTCATCCAGCATAAACAATTCCCTTTATATGCTTCCCACAAGAAGAATATACACGGAGTTATGTTAACATTATTGTAAATAAGTTTAACTTCAGAAGAGCATCAAGATACGATATGATAAGTAATAAAACGATTAAGAAACATCCCAAGATAGAGATTGTACTTACCACATCTGTTTTCAAAATATTTCTTTCCAGAAGAAATATTATGCAAAGTTTTGAAAATTGTTACTCATTACTTTCATCCATAAATTAGAGAAACCAATTAACGAAGCAAATTTATATCGCTCAATTAATCTTTTGTCAAATATATTCAAATTCTTAGAGAAGATGTTAATTAAAAGACTTCATCCCTTTTTGGAAGATTAAAAAATAAAGTAAAATCATCAATTTGGTTTTCGGAAGCAACATTCAATAATAGAACGAACCTATAGAATAGTATATAAAATCATCCAAGATCTAGAACAGAAAAAATACTGACACATAACCTTTATATTACATAGGCAATCTTGCCTATCAGTGATTATAAGGAACATTACAATTCCAACAAATAATATAGTCAAATACCTGAACATGATACTTGACAGAACATATAAGTAGCATATTAAACCAAAGTGTAAGCAACAGAAGTTAAAAATTCTACTGGCTTAGACGTTTGAATTTAAGCTTAGAAAGCAAAATATTACTCTAGAAAGTTATATTAAAACCCATTTGGATGTCTGACCACCCTGAGGTCGAAAAATGGGCTTATATTTAAAAATCTTTAAACTCAGAACTATCAAATAAACATTTTTTATTTTAGGTCACATGACAGTTTATAGTTTAAACAATCTCTAATACAAAAATTGTTAAAAATATTTAAAAATAACAGCGCTGCAACTGATGCCGTGGAGGTCTCCGCCGGAACGCGTGTCACAAACTGAAAGATCTCTTTAATGATGCATCTGAAAAAAAAATGATTTTTTCATTCATGAATATTGTGGCTCTAATGTCTTAAAATTTTTTTTCTTGAGAAAATAGCGGTGAGTAAACGAAATACTTTTTTTCCGCAAAAATTTGACAATAAAAAGTTAATATACAAACTAATTAACATATCGCGAAAATCTTATGCTACTTTATAGATAATATATCTGAGAGTATCGTGTTCAAATTTCAAGTCAATCAGTCCGGTAGTTTCCGAGATCTAGTTACAGTTAGATCAAAAAATATAATTTCGAGAAAAACGCAAAAGAAAGTAAATGTCTGGTTATTTAGGTGATAAAGTGGTTTTTTTGCTTATCTTTAATCAGTAATTCCTGGCTCATATAATGTTCCTTCAACAGCATAATGAGTATCTTGGAACCCTTTATGAGTTGATTTGCGAGCTTGGCGAGCATCTTTCATGTTTTATCGCGCTCGGATCTTTGTCGACTTTCATGCACAATTTGTAGTCGTAATCCGTTAATGTTTCGAATTTTAATACCAAATATGGCTTAAATTATTCGAGATTTTTTAAAACTTCTAGCGTGGTTAAACCTCTTAACTATGGGGAACAGTGAATAATTTTAACATAGAAATTCTCCAGTGATTCCAATACAAAACATTAAGAATTGACACATCTTAGTATGTTTAATTCACGCATAAGCAGTCATTCGAACCTAGTTTATTCTAGTCTAAATTAGATCATTAGTTACTTAACTGTTGGACAGTACAGCACATATTCGCAAACTATAAATCTATCTACTACCATTTATATCTATACAATAGATTTAACTAAAACAGAATATTTACTCACAGAAAACTATTTGTAAGTAATTTAAAATTACTTCCTATGTCATTGCACCACGTCAATTTAATTTATTTATAATTCTCAACGAGAATTGATTGTATTCTATAATTAAAAAAATATATACATATATTTAATTTGTGCACAACGAACAAAGTAAATACTTCTATTTCACTTGATTGATGACCCTTCCACTTACAGGGATTGGCAATATAGTAGTATTACATATATGGGTCATTATTATCACAATTACCGAGAGAATTTCCTCATGAAAAAATATATGACGTCACATTATCTCTCACTTCTACATCTATGGCACTTGCTTCATGTTATATAAATTATACCTTATAAGGTATTATAATATGTCATCGCATCTCTAATCTAATCTAATCTAATCACAATTACTACTACTTTCCCCCATTAATATCCGAATTTATTTTTTTCCTTGATATGGCGATGAAGATTGTTATTGTTGCTCTGTGCAAAATTCATTGAGGCCTATGCCATAAGAAAAAGTAAGACGCACACAATATAGAATCACTAAAGATTTTTCTATTATAATTGTTGTTTTTATTATCGTATTTTATAATTGTAATAAAATTTATGTAAAATATAACATCTGGACTGATATAAGTATAAGTAAATGTTAAAATATTTGTTTGCAAGACAAAATTCGCCGATAATAAACTACAAGGACATAGAAATACTATCAATGAACCTAATTCACGATGTAAATCAACATCTATTCGGAAAACAAAAAATATTGACATATTCATTAACAAAGCGATCTCATTACCATCATAGAAAATAAAGGGAACTGTCAAGGACATAGAAGAAAAGAAAAATCCAAATCAACGAAATCTAATTATTAATTAAAGAAAAATCCCTCCTTTTGGATCTTTATAGAATCTCATTGAATATAAAAATCCTCGTATCAAAACTAATCGGGTTCATTCATTCATTCGTTCATTTAAACAAAATCATTGTTATATCGTCAACTTCACTGTTCTGCTTAACAATCGTTATTGTATTATTGACCTGCGCCTCTGTAAATTATTATTTCATTATAAATTAAATTTTCTACTTATTTTTTGCACATCTTTCACTGCTCTAACTATTTATGAATGATTTTGTACTTAAATTGTTTGTTGAAAATATATTCTGCTTTCGTAAGTGCAAAATATATTTGGTCTTTCTGACCATTTATTTTCCTCTTCTTTACGTCGCATTAGAGAATATAAATTAAAAAAATATGACTATAAACGAAACAAATTCGGCTAAAAGGAAATTCTATGCCGTCGCGCCTTGAATTTATCTCACATAAAATCATCGTCCTATTCGTTTATTCCATTGTTAGAATCAATGACTTAACCGGTTGGATTTTAACAAATAACTTAGGAATAAATAACTTTGGATTGCCAAGCATTTATAAGTATTAATCAAAAAACTAGAACAAGTTATATCTCTGAGTTGTGACTTGCAATTAAGGGACTTTTTTTCCTATATGTTTACAAGAGTTTATGACATGAATTCTCATCGTTTCAATTTTTATCCGATTTTGGATCAATTTGATAATAATTTCTTTCGAAAGATAAAGATTTTATACACAAGATTATCGTTTCTAATTTTTGAAGAATAATTTTTTTTTTAAATCATGTCTAAAAATAGGTAATTTTTAAAAGTAATTTTCACGCAAGTTTCTTACAAAAGCCACTTTTGAGAATTAGAAATAATAATCTCGTATTAAAAATCTTTATCTTTTAAATGAGCTAAGGAATTAAAATCGGACAAAAATTGCGATCAGAAAATTTTTAACGTAAACCTTTACAACACGCTGTATAGATTTCATGCATGCGGTTTCAGACTCTAGCAACAGTCTTGTTAGTATTATAAAATTAAAATATCATATGCGGTTTGATTAGTAAAATTGCGGCATATATATTTTCATTGATATATCAGAAAAAAATGTGAATGTCAACGCCAATATCAACCTATGGTATTTAAAATAATTTTTATAGATAGCGAATATTCGCAATTAGAAGAAATTCAGACTGCAAGAAACATGCCATTCTTGATAAGTAATACGTTGGACAAATATCATGTTATTGTATCTAAACTTTTTTATGATAAGACAGATTTACGATAGATTAATGTTTAAAGTTGTAGAAAAAGAGGCGAGACTTGTTTAAATGGAAAAATTAACTACGATGGTATTCTTTGTATCACTATTGTTGCGGATGGAACATGGGCTAAAAAGTCATATAAAAATTATTATAGTTTATTATCGGGCATTGCCACGATTGTCGATATATTGAAGTTCGAAACAAATATTGTTCTTTTTGCCATCAAGTGTACTAGTAGTTTTTCGTAATCATAAAGGTTTCAAAAATTTGTATGGATTGACGATGCAAATGAAATCAGATGCAATAGTAGAAAGTTTCTGTTGTAGCATCGACATGCTCAGTCTAAAATATACTAAATTGATCGAGGATGGGGACAGCAGTGTACATTAGAAGTTTATAAATGCATTGCCGTACAGTTTGCAATTATTAGTTGAAGAAACAAAATGTTGCAATCATATATTGCGTAATTATAGAACCCGTTTTTAAACTTTTTGTCTAAATAAAAATTACGGCAACGTCAACAATGAAATATTTTGCCTCTTTTGCGGCAATTAAATATTGTAAGGGTCAAAAAAATTAGCTTCTATATAGCAATTGAAAGAATTTTGAAAAGATATTCATAATGAGCCGAATCATATTTTTGACCATCATGAGAAGTGTAAAAATTGTAGTTATTATTGCAATGGTAAAGCAAAATCTGATGAGCGTAATCATGTATTGGGGATGTAAATCATTGATATTTTTCACGGAATCTAATCGGAAATGCATCATGTTACAACTAGTCTTTTTGCTTTATGCGGCTCGTATAAAATTCGATGTGGAAGTGCTGTTATCAGTATGAATGCTGATGGTGCATTATATCATGAAATTAGTGATAAATTATTAACTTTTTTCTATATTTGTTGTGTATGTTGATTCGTATTGTGATTGTGTATTTTTCCCTGTTGTGATTGTGTTATTGCGCGATTTTACTGAATCGAATGTTTTCTTATAGTTTATGTATGTAAAACATGTTCTTTGTTCCTTTGATGCTTGATTTATTTATAATGCTATCAATTATTACCTGTTTCATACATTCCTGATGTTTCTCTTGCATCTTTTCTGTTCTTCTATAAGTATAATATATTGTTGTTCATGAGGTGTTGGTCGATTTTTCGTGTTATTATGGAATTTTATATAGTGTCAGTTATTGATCTGTAATTGGCTAAATTCTGTATGTTTTTGTTTTTGAGTACATCATGTCTTCTGTTAGAAAATGGGTTGTACTATTTAAGTCTTCTATTATTTTGTTGATTTCTCTTGTGAGATGTTTGTTGTTTTTAAACCAAAAGTTTTATATATAGTTTTTTCCAGGTGACTCAACTGTGTGTGCTTTTTATTATCTTTGCTAATTTTTCTTCTTTTATGTATTCTTCAAACATATGTAGTATGTTTCTGTAATCATTTTCTTGTGCGATCCATCGTGCTTTGTTATTATCTTGTTCTAATTAAAAGAATTTTGTTATTTGTTATTTTGAGGTACTACTGTTTCTTATTCCAATTTTCTGTTATTTTTCCAATTTTCTGTGGAAAAGTTTTTCATTTCTTCTGAAAAAATTATTTATTTTCTTTCTTTCGTTTGATTTGTTATCTCTTCAAGCGGGCGAACTATGCAGCTAATTTTAGTTCATATGTATCTAGTATTTGAGATACTACTTTCTTATTATTTTACATGCTTTTATTTATGTGTTTAGTTACAAATTAATATCATGAAACATTCATGCAAAATAATTTTTTGGTATACCTTATTTCCAAAATTACAATTAACATTACTACAGTATTGCAAATATTGTTATTGAGATTCTAAAATTTTGTAGAACACAGTAACACTGTAAGTAAGTGTAATATACATCATGGAATTGTAATATATAATAAATATGGAATAACAGAATTGTAATTAATATTTTTTTCTTATTATAATAACTTGATATAAAACACATAACCCAGATGCAACCAAGAGCACATAAGAACTAAG